TGGGGCCAGCCAGAGGTGGTATTTGCCGGTTCTCTGAACTGCTCAAAATTTCCGCTACCGGTTCTCCTGTCAGAACCTGCTGAATTTCACCCCCGCCTCCCAGAGGAAATAAAAGAAGAGCGAAAGGGGAAGTGAGTTTGCAGGAGACAATTAGTCCGCTTAATTGGTTTGTCTCTCCATGACTCCTTGCCAAGTTCTGCAGATATCGGCCTGGCAGCTCTCCAAGACAGATAAGGTCTGTGACTGTTAATCCTCCCTTGAAAGACTTTGCTGGATGCGAATGCGCAGAATTCACAGTCAATTAATAAAAGGGTTTTTTGTCGGGACAAGGAGTCTGCTTCGTGGTTTGGGGGAAACCTAGGTCAGAACACTCCCCATTTAACTCTGTCATCCATTTTTTTTTTTGCCCAGATATTCTGGAGGTGCGACAGAAACCGATTCTGATGTCCTAGCCAAGAGCCGGGTGCTGCCTTGGAAAACTCGCAGCCAAGTGCCTAAAAACAAAAACAAAAAAACTTATCTCTTGCTGTCTTCTGTCACATGGTCACCACTTGTGTCAGGAACATAACTTTGAAAACAAAAAAAAAGGGATCTCTAGGAATAACCAGCCAATCAAGAAGTGCCTCTTTTGCTCTTTCCTCCCCTTTAAGAGAACCGGAACTGGCTCGTATTTCTTTATAGACAAAACTGGTAGAAGATTTCTAAAGCAAAAAAAAACCCTCCCCGAAAATAATAATAATAATAATAATAAAAGGAAACAAGGGGGAACAAAATTAACCCGCCACCATCTCAGAAGTAGGGGCTGCGTATAAAAACAACGGCAATGACGACGGCGATGCTTGATGGATAGCATTTACTTTCCTAATTGGAAACCAACCTGTACAAAAAGTATTCATCTTTATATACCTTGAATCGGATTTCATACTGGGTGAATCAATGAACATTGGTTTTTTCCATGTGCATAAGAAAGCAAATCCTCTCCTGTAGATGCTTTCATCAGATAGGATCGCGACGTAGCATAACATCCGCGGGGAAGTTAAAGGTGGGGGGAGGAGGGGGATAGATGTTCATGGAGGAGCTTAGCGGGGGAATCCGATGGCCAGGTTTCTCTCCTTCTCTCAAAGGGATATATTTTCAAAGCCTCGTAGCACGGATGGGTTCTGAGACGTCATCTTCGCCTACTAAAGATCAGCCAAAAAAAAAAAAAAAAAAAAAAAACCCAGCCAAAAAAAGTCTTAAGGGTTGAGATTGTAGGAAAGTGTCCATTTTTGCCTCCAGTCGGTCTTCCACTATATGGCGGCCTCTGATTTTGAGGAAGGAGGAGGAACACGCGCTAACTGGAGGTCAGGAAGGAAAATACAGAGGAACCTCAGCCTGGACGAATTGGGAAATTAAAATAAATCTAAGGAAAACTCCTCAAAATCTTTTTGACTATCCCATCCGCTCAAAACGATTCCCCTCAAACAGGTGTGTGTGTGTGTGTGTGTCTGTGTGTGTGTGTTGCTGTGATTTCTCAGTAAACGGAAGACTCATTCTTAAATTTAACGCTCTCCCCAATGTTTTTCTAGGATTGGGGAGGAGGGGAGGCAGCAAAATTCTAGAGGAAGCGCAGAGTCCATCGTTGTGGGTTTGGGATCGTCACTCAATTCTATTGTACGCGTGTCTGAAGATGTATAAAAGCATAGTTGAATCAAAGAGGGCGTTTCACTACTTTCCTGAAAACACATGCACTGATGATGATGATGATTTTTTAAAACGGATTCTCATTTAATTGTTTAAAAGGAGAAGCATTTGGTGGAGATATCAGGCGTCCTGCTTCCTCATCTTTGGCGAATTTGCACTTTTATTTTAAATGTATAATACAGTTTTTTTTGGTGCGTGTTTACAAGATGAAGTTCAGCCTGTTTACATAGGAACCAGTGGTGGGATTCAAATTTTTTTTTACTACCGGTTTTGTGGGTGTGGCTTGGGTGTGTCGTGGCTTGGGGGCGTGGCTTGGTGGGCGTGGCAGGAGGAGGATACTATAAAATCTCCATTCCCTCCCTACTGCAAAGGGGAAGGTTACTGCAAAATTCCCATTCCCTCCCGATCAGCTGGGACTCAGGAGGCACAGAACAGATGGGGCGGGGCCAGCCAGAGGTGGTATTTGCTAGTTCTCTGAACTATTCAAAATTTCCGCTACCGGTTCTCCACAACTGGTCAGAACCTACTGAATACCACCTCTGATATGAACGTGTGTGCACGCCTTTAAAAAGAACTCAAAATGAACCACACAAGGATTAGGGTGAGGGTTGCCCAGTGTGTGTATGCACGGGAGGAGGGGTATAAGTGCAACATTAAAGATGGCAGCCGGGATTACATGACCTAACCCCCACGCTTTTTTTTAATATGTTTCATGGATGCCCTCTTTTTTATCCTACACCAATTCTGGCTTATCATATCTTGACCATAATGTGATATATCCCTTTATAGCCTCTTTGCTACTAATCTAGTCCAATTTCTTTATTAATTATAGACCTGCCCTAATCCAAAATCTCCCTTTGGATGAAAACAAATTCTCCTTGGGAGATTACAGAATCCCCAACCAGCAAATTACCTCAAAGAAAGTTGATTTCTAGATCAGGGTTCACCATCCTTGGTAACTTTTTAAGACTTGTGGACTTCAACTCCCAGAATTCCTCAGCCAGCCATGCATGGCTGGCTGAGGCATTGTGGGAGTTGAAGTCCACAAGTCTTAAAGCAACCAAGGTTGGAGAATCCTAACCTAGATGTCTTCTCAGCACGATTTGAATTCAGCTGCCGCTTACCCATTGGCTGGGCAAATGGGCGTGGCTTGTTCACTGCAGGTATATTCCTGGGGGAAAAGACTTGGGCTTTAAAGCCACTCCTTGTTCTTAGCTCTTTAACCTTGTGGTTTAGCTAGAAGGGAACAATTTAGCTAGAAGCTAGAAGAAGGGAACAATTGATGTGGTTTTGTGAGGCCTGCAACACCATTGACTTGGGAGAGTTAATTCAACCTCATGCAAGTTAGGGCTTGCTAAATCTACCTATTGACTCTATTTTATGGTCTTAACAGATACTCCTTATTAAACAGGTGATGGGAACCAGGTCTGAAGTTAGCTTTAATAGAGATAAACTGTCTTCCCACTGCATTTCAGGCCTAAAGCTCATTCCGTTTGCACCAGTTCCTCTTTGTAGGAACGCGTCCCTTCAAGAAGCCTAGTTGAACGAATTGCTGGGCAGACAGGAAGGGTGTGAAGAAGGGAAAAACACCCCTGGGTAAGTTCGCTGGTTGTAAGCCTGACTAAACACCGATGGAGTTTGATTTTGTTTGGAGTTGTTGCAAGCTAGTGGAAAGCTGAATATCGTTTTGCTGGCGGAGAGGGTCAGAAATAGGATCGCGTAAATCAGGGGTAGTCAACCTTTTTATACCTACCGCCCACTTTTGTATCTCTGTTAGTAGTAAAATTTTCTAACCGCCCACCGGTTCCACAGTAATGGTGATTTTATGGAAAACCTAATGAAAATTTTTAAATAATGCTATGAATTTTTTTTTTTAAAGTCAAATTACAAAAAAGGAAAGTGC